AGATCACTTTCAAGAGACTGAGGAATAACTGAGCTGGAAGGTCCCTGTAGACAGAGTAAACTGATTGTGCATGATAAATGCAACACCTCAAAGAAGCATCAGACCCACTGCATACAAATGAACTGACTGCACTGCACGCAAGCAGCAGGTTAAGCAGTAGAGCAGAGTCATGGAAGGCTCTCTCCTCACCAAGAGGAGAGCTGTTCCTCACCCAGGAGGAATAAAACTATTACTATTATCTGTAATTGTACTAGCTCACAATGGAACTCCCAGGATGACTGACACATTTCCAACTGTCAGCATAATTTTCCCTGTCACAGTTATGTTTGCTATCCTTCAGCCACCTGGGAAAACCCTGACACATTTAATTTGTTAACTGTGCTAGACATAACTTTTAAAACTAGAACACAGAGCTCATTTCTAGGACTTCACTAGAAAGCTTCTATCTGATACTGATAAAAGAACATCTTGCACATGAACATGACACAGACAAAAAATGAATAGGTATAGGGTGGATACACATGAAATTTCAGAATAAAACCTCAATTTTAAAGGATTTTAAACACCCACACCATTATTTTATAGCTTTATAAAACATATATTAGTCAAAGACCTGTAAGAACATTTTATTTGGAAAACTGTATCTGTGAGTCACTGCACCAGCAGCACTCAGCTCTGTCAGTGGCCACAGTCTAAACTTTAAGCATGTTTACAAACATGTTCTTTCTCAGGAAAAGAAAGCTTGAAAGTAAAACCACAAATGAAACCACCCTATACTAACAAAAAAAGTTCCACCACTTACATTTATAACACAAGCATCTTTAACTCTACCATCTGGAGTAACAAAACATCCTATTGGAAATCCTGGATTACAGTATTTTTGTCCATCTTCCACATCATAACACCACGTTACAGGCATGTTATCGATAATCCTAGACAGAAATCATCAAAGAACACGTCCTCAGAAAGGGGTGCACCTCACTTCACAGTGACATTTCACATTCATGTAATGCACACACTTTTCAGTAGTGCCTACAAGATGTACAGTAGAGAGATAACTATCACACAAAAGGAAGAAAGCAACCACGTAAAACATAGATAACAAATGTCCAAAAGCAAAAAATATAACACCAACCACAAGCATATGTCTTGGCTTACCAGTGATGCTGATAATTCAATTGCATTCCTTTCTTCAAAAAAGCCAGTTTGCTTTTATCAACACTGTTTCCTGGGTCATATGATCTTGTACAAACCTTCTTGCAAGTTTCTTGCTTTTGAAAAGTGAACTGTTAAAAAAAGCATACAAAAAAAAGTCACTTCAATTTTGCTTCAAAGATCTCTTAGCGTTTTGGGTTTTTTTCAGGTAAAGTAGGGAGGGTTTTTTTTAGCTACTTTAGCTCATTAGTGTAAGTTTCTGAAGGATAAACCCTTAGGACTGAAAATTAGTAGAAAAGGTATTGCTTTTCCTTTTACCAGTTTGTTTTATTTTGATAATTTCATCATGGGCTAACACAGACCTTCACTACATTCTTGAATGTTCCATGTTAACTTTAGCTGGTTTTCCCCATAGTTATGGCTGCCAAAAGCACAAGTTGCACAACATCCAAGCTTCAAGTACAGACATCACCTAACACAAGCACACTCAAATTTGCATCTCCAACTTCTAACCCAATTAACATTAACCTGTTAGTGAGCTTAAAGCATGACTGAAAATTCTAATATTATCAAGGTCCAAATGCTAACCAGGAACAGCACTTTCTATTTACCGTTGTGTACAGCCATTTCAAACAGTGGTTATAACAATTAATCTATTCAGTAACGTATCCAGTCCAAATGACCCATCATGCTAGATATTTAAAAGCTTATTGTGACCACCAGTCATAAGACTTAAAATTATATTAGTTCAGAGAATCAAGGAGATTTCTAAGAGCAGTTCATATAAGAGAAGGGGCATCATCTACTTAACAGACTAATGAAAAGATAAGAACGGGTCCCTTAAGACTGAGCAGCAGAGTCAGAAACTGCTGCCTCTTTTTCTCACAGGGATTTGGATTATCTAGCAACCGTCACACACACATAGCACAGTCTTCAGCTCCACTGGCAAATCCAAGTCAGGAAACTGCGTTTGAACACCATACAGCTCTCAAACATGAAGAGCCACAGTTGGACCACGGCTCCTCCATTGCTAATAACTGTCCCAAGCTGATGGCACAGCTTTTTAGATATGCTGCATTTGATCATTGCTAATGCACAGCATGATACAGAAAAATACCACATACCCAATCCACAAAATATTTCCAAACATTTATTTTACAGAAGGTTCCAAGTGATATGCATCAACACTGAAAAATCTGGTTTCAGACAACAGATGATAAGCATGTATAAGCAGAGAAAAGCTGCAAGTGAGCCATAACCTAATTTCCCCTTTCTGCTTTGGAAATTGCCCAATACTACAACCAAGTATACAAAACAGTTCCTGAACTATCACTTTATAGTCTCCAATGTTACATTTAATAAACCAATTATTTCACATCACCTAGCACACCTTACATCCAGCTATTAAATAACTACCTAAGATATAGTTTCTGGACTTCTCTACCACAGAGCAACACGCAAGAAGGGTGATCACTGGTTCAATTTCCTAACCTAAGATACCATATAACCTAAGATACCTTTGGGTTGGGAGGAGTTTTATTGGGTTTTATTACACAAACTCCATACTGGTTATATTAAAAAATATAAACAAAATAATCACCCAGTCATCTAATCTTCAGCTATGTCTACGGCTATCAGAACAAAGGCTATCAAATTTAAGCAGGATCAACTTCAAGGGATGAAATAACCTTATATGGAGACGATGCTATTCTCTCCCCAAACAGCACTTGTCCAAGATTTTCTGATGGTCTTTTCTCTTCCTTATCTTGACAGAAGTCAAAACTGGAAAAAAGTAGCAAAGGTTCCCTTTTACTTTTAATTGACATATAACTGTAAATACCAGCCTAAAACAAATTCTTAAACTATGTACTTAGTAGTTTTCACTATTTTGTTAACAGTTTAGACACCAGTAGTTAAAAATCTGAGAGCCTTTGCAAAGAAAGCTGGCATCTATTTCAATATTAATTTCAACCAATACATATTCCAGCATATCTTTAACAAAATGCACAATGGATAGTTCACCCACCCTTTTCAAATGGCAATTTAAACAAACAATAGAATGTTTCACTTTGTGGGAAAAAAAAGGCACTATGCTACAGACTTTTCATTTCTCCTGCAAAAAATTTTCTGGAAAAATTACATTCCTTTCTTAAAGGAATATTTACAAATAGCATTTAACATTAAACACATTTCAAAGAAGGAAAGTGCTTTTAGTTTTACAGTGCCACACTGTCAAACACCATTCGCCAGTTCTTTTCAGCTACATACAGCCTGAAACTACTGCATATGGGAGAATGTAACCATTCTGGCTTTTCATTAAACAGAGGTAGCAGCAGGTTATGGTAAAAAACCCCAGCATAACAACAAGCCCATATTTGTCATTGGCACAGAAGTACTTTCCCTCACTTAATTGTCCTAAATTCACTGGCTTCCATAAAGTTTAACGGAAATAGAGACGGGGTATTTCTTGGCTAGTCTTTGGTCTTATTTCTATTGCTGCACTGCCTAGGGAAAGAACTAAAATACCTGCAAGTTTTCTCTTCTGTGCCCAACAAGACTGCAAATCATATTGTTTGTCATCACTTTGTAGGCCTATAAATATCTGCAAAAGCAGATAGAAGTTTTCATATAAAAGAATCAAAGGATACAAAACTAAAACCAACAAACCAAGAATTAGCTATAGAACTTTGGCAAAAAAAAAAAAAAAAAAAAAAAAAAGAAAGTTAACAGAGACTAGTCTCCAAGTTTCTTTCAATTATCAGGAAAAAAAGGGAACTCAAAATTTCTTATGCCCTAGATTTGCCTAACAGAACAAACTTTCAAATATGTCAAACAGTCAATACTAAAACTTGTACTCAGCTCAAAAAAATGCACCCATAAGAAACCTTGCAGCCTTTTCTTTAACAATAACCAAGGACAGTCAGGTGGCACAGGTGTGGCCTTCATCCTTCCCACCCTCTTGTACTTCGTTCCTGCCACTGAGCACCGGATTCACTCTTCCACCCCTACAGCCAAAATACTGACACCCTTACAGTAACAGAAAAGCACCTTTCCAAACATTTCTGGAAAGCTGTTGGGATGTACTTACGCATCATATTCGTATGGCAGAACTGATTCAACAGAGTCCAGCCGGTTCACGAAGAGCTCAATTAGTGACTGAAACAGGAAAGGAGAAAAATCATGAAAATAGGGACTTTCAGAAACAAACGTACGGCTGGTACGAAACGCGTGGCTAACTAACAGCAAATGCTGCTACCCCATGGCAGAGTTACCCTTGGCTGCTGCCAGGCCTCGGCCACGCCAGGAACAAGAGCTAAGGGTCCTCCCAGCGCTGGCTGTAAAGTTCAGCGGGAAATGGGAATATCAGCTAGGGGTGCCTGTCTTCCCGAAGCAAAGGCTGCCGCCCGCGGGAGGCCACCTCCGGGCAGCGGGACTGGGAACACCCCGCGTGGAGCAGAGGGGCCGGCCCGCACGGGAGCTCACCTTGCAGCTCTCGCTCTCCTCGCTCTCCTCACAGAAGCTGACAGGCGCCAAGCCGGGCAGGTAGAAGGCGGCGCCGAGAGGCGCCACCAGAAAGAGTGCGGCAACTAGCAGCCTCATCTCGCAGCCTGGACGGGCAAAGGCACCATGAGGCACAGCTGCAACCCCACCGCCCCGGGCAGCGCCTTGCGGAGGCGGCCCCGGCACAGTCGGAGGCGGGGCGGCCGCGTCACGGCCGGGTCGGGGCACAGCGGCTGCGCAGTGAAGGGTGGGAAGCGGCGGGCGCCATCTCGAAGGAGGGCACTGTGAGGGACGGGCGGGGCAGGACAAGGGCGGGCAGCCGGGACAAGGGCGGGCAGCCGGGACAAGGGCGGGCAGCCGGGACAAGGGCGGGCAGCTGGGACAACGGGGAGCGGCTTCCCGCTGCCAGAGGGACGCCGGGGAGAATTTCGTCCCCGGGAGGTGGGCGTGTGGCCCTGGCGCAGGTTGCAGAGATAAGCTGTGGATGCCCAATCACTGCAAGTGTTCAAGGCCAGATTGAACGGGGTTTGCAGCATCCTTCCTGGTCGGGAGAAAGGAGTCCCTGCCCCATGGCGAGCGGCGTGGGGGCAGCGAAATCTGGTGGTTTTTTGAGCATCCCTTCCAACCCAAACCATTCAAGGATTCAATGGTACTAGAATCTCTTTTCAGGTTTCATCCCCCAGCAAAAAGCACAGAATCAATTAGGTTGGAAAACACCTCATCGAGTTTAACACAGGACCGAACACCACCATGTCAACCAGACCATGGCACTGGATGCCCTCTTTCCTTAAACACCCCCAGGGACAGTGATTCTACCACCTCCCTGGGCAGAAACAGTTACTTTGTGCTGTTCTCATCTACTCTAGTCTGAGTTTTACAGAGGAAAATTCCTGAATTTCTATAAACACCTATTAACGGTCAGTGCCTAGAAGATTGCTCCTTGTTATAAAACTGTTAAGCTGATTTTTCAGTTATTAGTTTTTGATTGCATAACTAGAGTGAATTACATTCCCTCATCTCTCCTAAACTCTTTTTCCAGTTTAAAACCAAAGCGTAATGAACTTGGTAAAAGGCCATATGTTTGATGAAAATATGTAGCATGGTACAGGGGAGATCCAAAACACTTTGCATGAACAAGTTTGCAGTGTAAATTCAGCAACATTGTATAACATCCGGGGATTTATTTAAGAGAGTGACATTTTAGTTGAAAGCTATCACAAAAACAAAATATTACCCTCATGGAATGTTGTCTACCTCTCCCATCTACTAGGCTCAATTTTAGGGTTATCAATGAAAAGGCAGAAAGAGATCAGTTTATATGTATGTGCATTTATAAGAAACATACTTAATTGCTTTTCTTCTAGTCTCAAAAATTTGATAATGCAAGGGCAAGTTATTTGTGCTAGTTAGGGAGTAATTGTCTTCTGTGTAAAGGTTGGTGAAGTATACCTGGTCTCTGTTTCCCCAGCTGTCCCATACAAGTCTGTCTCATATTCCATAGGACCCAGTATAAGACCTCTTATTAATACCTAATTTTTATCAGAAAAGTCAAAGTTGAAAGGTCATGTGCAAAAGAAAATGTCATAGCTCTTCAGCCTTGAACTTTTTACTGAAGAGGAATTAATTTCAATTCAGACTGCAGTTTGTTTGCTGATGATTTATGTAGTTTTTCCTCAAAAATTCAAAATTACAGGAAAAAATAGGAAAGAAGATAATTAGAAGAACTAAAGAATTATATATCCTTTAATCCTCTAGGAAAAGATCTGACTGAATTTGGAGCAAGACCATACATACACTGTGTAGTGAAAGACTGTAAAATACTGTTCCAGTTTGCAATGAAAATGCAACTAAGTTTGATGAGAAGCTTCATGTAGATACCTTTCAGAACAACAGGCAGAAGGATTTTTAGAACAATGGGCCACCCTTATACAATTGCAGCATTTATGTTCAAATGCTGTTTCAAATGTCGTTATGTTCATGCTAATCCTGCCTAACTACATGTTCAGTACTGTTAAGAAAATGTTACTAAAATGAAGCCTGGAGTTATCAATTAAATCTTTTACTCTTTAAATCAGAGGAGACAGAAAAAGAGCCTTTTGTTTGCATTTACTTATTTTTCCAGTTAAGTGGCGTGGGTCAGAGAAGCACCTTGATGGAGGCCATTTTTAGCATATTTCTTACAGGACTAACAATTTGCTTTAGTTTTCACTATCCATCCCAGAGAGGCTCTGAAGTTTAAATTCTTTTGTATTGAAACTAGAATTTGAAGCTTTTATTCATATGATAATTGGATGAGTATCTGGTATATCTGATAATGCCATTCTTTGGCAACTGCATTGGTATCATAGGCAGTGCCACCCCACCTCTTTATAAAGGTCATCTTTCCCTTTTCCCCTTCACAGTAACAGCTTCCAGAAACTCTGAGCATCCACACTGGTAAGGTGACATCTTCAAGTACATACTGGAGTTTAGAGTAGTGTTTGAGAGCTTCCCTCCTTTGTGTTCTTAACACATCTATGAGCTACTCTGAGGCAATGTTGCCTTCAGCTTCCCATAGCACAAACAGCAGCTGAATATCAGTATCTGACGGACTGAAGAACTGGAGATAAGGAGAGTCTGCTGTTCTCTTATCAGAATGTAGCAATTATGGAGCTGTACAACTGTAACAGCACTGGGCAGTGCCTTTAGAGTCCATAGACTCTGTGGCATCTCAGAATGCCACAGAAATGAAGGTCTGGAGAACTGCAAGCAAGAACTGCAAGGGAGAACTTAAAAGACTGTATGATGGTTAGACTGGGTGGCACTAAGAAAATAGGTCTTGATAACTGATGAATATAAATTTAGACAATCTACAGGTTCAAATAATGAAAGTTTAGCCAATTTTTCCATGAGCAGTTTTCCTCCTAATGTTTCTGCTATCAGGTTTAGCCAGCCAAAGAAAATCACAGTTAAACTTCAAGTACAAATAATTAACAAATTGAGTTAGTTGAACAAAAATGGCAAAATTTTGTGCCATCAACAACACATTTAATTTTCAACCATACTTGTTTTGGTTTGCTGTTATTCTCCAAGGAAGGAGTGCTGCCATGCACATCTATTAATCAAACTAATTAAAAATGCCTTTAAGGCTGCTTTAGCAAACTGGGTTAATCTCATGCACAAACTCCAAAGTTAAACTGATACTACTGTGGTTTTCCTTCCAGAGAAGTGATCTGCTGCTTCACAAAATCAGTTAGCATTGGAAGGGACCTGTGGGAGATCATCCAGACCAATCCCCCTGACAAGGAAGGGTCACCTGGAGCAGGTGATACAGGAATGTCTCCACAGAGGGAGACTCCATGACCTCACTGGGCAGCTGTTCCAGGGTTGTGCCACCCTCAATGCAAAGTTCTTTCTCATGTTGAGGTGGAACCTTCTGGTATTTTAGTTTATGACCACTGCTCCTCATCCTGTTACTGGGCGCCACTGAAAATACTCTGGCACCTGGCTTTGGGATATTTACATACATTAGTGAGATCCCCTCTCATTCTTCTCTTCTCTGGACTGAACAGTCCCAGCTTCCATATCTCTCCTCGTAAGAGAGATGCTCCAGACATCGAATCATCTTTGTGATTATTACTAACTCCAGTAGCTCCCTTCTTGTGATGAGGAGTCCAGAACTGGACACAGCACTACACATGGGGCCTCAATCCTCCGGGATGAGGCGCAGCCGACAAACAAAGCTCTACTGCTCCTTTCCCAGGGGCTCGCGGTCCCCGGCCGCTGCCCGCTGCCAGCAGGACGGGACTCTTGGGCCCTGAAGCCCCATCCCCTCCGGCCCCGCTGTCGCTCGGCCGCGGCGGGAGCGCCGCACCGGCCCCGGGGCCCACGGGCGCCCCCTGCCGGGCTCGGCGTCCCCTGCCGGGCTCAGCGCCGCCGCCGCATCCGGGGCTCCGTGTGACGCGGCGCTATAAAGGGCCGCAGCGCCTTTGTTCACCCCCATTGCGCAGTTGCGGATCGGCGCGGGCGGAGGTGAGCGCTGCTGCGGGCTCGGGTGCTGCGGGCGGCACCGCGGGGCGCTGCGGGCATCCGCGGCGAAAGCTCCACGGGGTGCGGGCTGCGTGGCGCGCCGCGCACGGCGGAGCGAAGGCACGGCGGGGCTGGGCCCGCCCCGCGATCCGTCCCTGCACGGCTCCAGTTAGGACGGCGGGACCCGCACCGTTGCGGTGGGGCGAGGAGGGTCCTGGCGGTGTCAGGCGCGGTGTCCGCCATTTTCTGTGCAGGGGTTCTTCAGCGTCCAGGGGGAGGGCGAAGGGGGAGCGGCGGGAGAGTCGCGCCTGTGTGTCCGGACGGGGCCGAGTCGCGCGGAGAGGGAGCGCCGAGGAGGCCGCCCGGCGCGGGGCCGGAGCGGGGCCGCTGCCAGGGCTGGCCGCCATTTTGTGGCGGTGCCTGAGCCCGCGGAGGGTCCGGGCCCCCCCGCCGCCGTGCCCGGAGCGCAGCTGAGTCCGGCCCCGCGAGCCTGGCCTGGCCTTGCCGCTCCCTCGGGCGGCTCTGTCCGCGCTACGCGTGTGCCGGGATTGGCGCGGCCCGACCCCGCCGCGGCTCCCTCGGGCCGCTTTGTCCGCGCTCCGCGTGTGCCGAGGCCGGCGCGGCCCTTCCCGCCATCGCGCTGCAGACACGCAGGCCGCTCGTCCGCAGGCTCCGGGCGGCCTGCCAGGCACGGGGGGTTTGGCTTTGTCTTCGGCTCTTGGGCTTTCTTCTCTTTAAGCCCTCCCGCCCCCGCGGCTGTAGCTGTGACATTGCTGTGTAGAACTGCAGTGGTGGTCTGGTGTCTATTCAGTCTCACATGTTGTGTGGGCCAGGATTTGAGCATAGTCTCCATGTACTTTTAATGATACAAAGAAGGAATTTAATTTTAAAGTACTGACCTAAGATGCTTTGAAGAGTTAACAATTTTGTATTGCTTTGACATCTTAAGTAAATTACTTGAAACGTCCAGGCTTTAAAGGAAACGTGTGCTAGGATTGCTGTCCAAAGGACAAAAGGAACAGCACTTCTTGAAGAGTTTTTGCATTCACCAATAGTGCTTCATTTTAACAGTGCTTTGTTCCACTATTCAAAGTTCTATTTAATATCTTTTAAACACACTATATAATGTGAAGAAGTAACTGTTAATACTACTGCCAGTTGCTTCCAGTACAAAAAATTGTAATTACTTAATGGTTTTTTTTAATACCTCATACTTCTTACCTAATAGCTTTCTAAAGAATATTTGCTTGTACATTTGAGGACAGAAGTCATTTATATACCATGAAGTCTGTATTGCAGTCTGATGTTTTGTTAATAATGGCCTAATTCTTCTTAGTAGGTCATTTACAGAATCAAAATGGTTGAAGCAGATCGTCCTGGGAAGCTGTTCATTGGGGGCCTGAACACAGAGACTAATGAGAAAGCCCTTGAGGCTGTATTCGGCAAATATGGACGCATTGTGGAAGGTAAAGAGAAGTTTTCTTAAGATGGTAATAGTATAAAACAAACAACAACATAGCTGTGATGACTTTTTGGCGTTGATCATCTGAAATGATAGCGCTTAGATGTCCTCTAAGAAGTTCTGAGCTTAAAAGGTTAAATAAAGGTTAAGTGTTCCTTACAGGGAATTACAGGGTAGGCTGATGTGACTTTGTTTCTGCAGTCCTTTTGATGAAAGATCGGGAAACAAACAAGTCCAGAGGATTTGCGTTCGTCACGTTTGAGAGTCCAGCAGATGCAAAAGATGCTGCCAGAGATATGAATGGAAAGGTAGGAATTAAGACCATTTATATGTTGCATTTGCTACTGACCAGGACAGTTAATCTTTGGGGTAAATCAACTGGTAATAAAAGTTGGAAAGAGAATGGGTTAGGAGATCGTGGAGACAAGTTGTAATTTCAAATTGGACAAAATGTCTCTGTCTCCTTGAAGCTGAAATCTGTTTCTCCTGTTCATGGATCTGCTAATAGAAAATGAAGTCTGGCTGGCAATCAGCTATGCTCTTTTCTTATTGTTCCTTAATCAGTGATGGAGGGTTTTTCACCAATCATCTCTTCATTCTTGCATGTTTCAATAATGATTTTTGGGTTGGATTTTCCTTTTTGATCATATTTGAATGCAGTACTATGTAAATTACAATTCAGGGAAGTGACTTACCTGAAAATTGCTAACTGTTCCCTTAACATGGGTTGACTGTGACTTCCCTTGAGTGTTGGAGCACTGATGAGCTATCTGGTATTTGGTGGATAATCTCCTACATTTGTGACTTGCATCATTGATCTGCTTGGTCTGTGTGAGGGGCATCTTTCCTGTTAATGTGCAATGGCTTTGCAGTTAGCCAGCAGCTAAGTTTGTTCATTTACGCCCTAAAAAGCAATAGTCTAGCTTTAAGAGTAATAAGTGTAATGTTTATAAAAATACAGGAATTTGCAGCACAAGTTCCAAGATAATACCAGCATAGTTTGTCAAAGAATTGTGGGCTGCTGTAATCTTTATCTGTCGTGGCATGTGCTTGAAATGGTAAATATAAGTTGGCAATTTTTTGGTGAGCAACTGCTTATCTTCATAGAGGTGCTGTCTCTTCAGGCAGTGAAAGCCATCTTAGGTCACTTGAATTGCAGACTCTGGTTTTCTGTGCATTATATGAATGGTTGTGTTTAGGTCACACTGCACTGGCCTTGTAAGCAGTGTCTCTTGAGATGCCATTCAAGTAAAGTGAAGAAACATGGAGTGATTGTGATTGACGCTTGGGATATTGATATATTTGTCTTGCTAGTTTAAGAAGCTGAAGTGAAAGAAAAATGTCAGTTATTGCAGTCAGTAAGTAAAACAACTTTAGGAATAAGAAAATCAGCTTTGTGTAGTGTTCGTGAGCACAAATAGTAGAACCTCTTGTATTTGTGTTATAGCAGACTATGTGTTACAGAAGGATAGTGGGTTTTCTACTCCATGTACTGATGTTTCTGGGTGCTTCATGACAACCTTACCACAATTAGGGTTACTCTCTTAGAAGACTTCCTTCCCTTTTAAGCAATCTAGTAATTTTGTCAAGGCAGAGAGTGGCAAATTTGGATGACGTTCTATATCAGCCTAAACATCTGTCAAGGTGCTCCATTTATTGAATTTTATTTCTCCACTGTCTAGTTTGCCACAGTTCTAAAGACTTTTACTGCCATGCTTAAATAATTCGTTTTCTCTGAAATGGTCATTGAACTCTCATATAAGGTAATTTCAAGGACCAATAGGTAATTGTCAGACTGAAGGGAACTCGGTCACTGATCTGTGTATTTGTGGAGTGCAGCTTGCAAATAAAAATCCCTCTGAAAATAATCATCAACTGTTCTGTATCTTGAATGCTGAGGCCTGTGTTTGGTCACATTGGAAACATTTGGGAGAGTCCTGCTTGGTAAAGTAGCTAAATGAGACAATGTTTGTGGCTGAGGTTATGTCTACTTGTTCTGGAATGCACAATCTGCATTACTGGCAAGAAATGCTAGAAATGACGACCTTGTGGATCATCATTCTCATGGGTTTATCTTCACTATAAATCTAGAAGTACCTTCATCTGCTTTGAAATTAGAACAGCAAGTAGTGTATGAAAAGAACCTCCTCAGATGGGATTTGGCCTAGAATGTCCTCTGGTCCAACTTGCTTTGACCATGGATATGAAAGATATTCATGAGGTGGTCTCTCATTCTCATCTTCAGAAAGCCTTCTGGACAACATGTACTGCTTGTATTCCAAAAGGACTCTGCATTCAAGGTCTGAGGAAGAGCAGTGTTTGAGGCCTGGTGTGAGAAGAGGTAATTGTCATAAATCACAACTTAAAGGTCTTTTTGTCCATTTGGAAAAGATGGATTGGCACGTTCTCGAGATTTTAATGCACTTGAGAAGCAGCAGCAGAAGGGAAGCACTATGCAGACTGCAGTTCAAGCAGTCTGTAAGGAGTTAGGTGACCTGTCTGGCCAGGGAGAAGAGTTCTGCATTGCCCGTCTGTTGCTCGTTCTGTCATCCCAAAGGAATTTGAAGTTGTAGCCAGTAGAAGAGGCTGACTGCAATAGATTCTGCAAGAATGAATTTGCATTTGCTTTTTTTATTTTGCAAATGTTTATGAAAATATATCCACAGTTTTGCACCAATTTGGGTGAGGGGTAATGTGTGAACAACTGTATTTCACTATATTGGGACAAGCATAGATGAGTCAAAGCTTGCTTGTTGAAGATAAGCTTGGCCTGCAGAAAGAGATCACAAAATAATTATTTTTGGAGTTGGATGGAGATTTCTCACTTCAATTACTTTGTCTTCTAGATTTAATCAATGCTGTCATGTCTGAACAGTGCAAAAGAAATGTAGAACTACTTTATAACAGCTTACCAGTCTTCCTTAAGAAGCGTCTTAATTCGTGGCTGTCAAGTCTCCATCCTGATGCCACACAGTGCATATGCTTACCTGGACATCATTGTGGATGCTCCCAAGTCTGTAATGGTTGTTTGGTGCACTGGGCTGTTCTCATGACCTTCTGATTCTACATCCTTAAAGATGAAGTGGATAATTAAAGAGAGGATATGACCTTTGGCAAAGGATCAGGACAAACCAAAGATTTAATTCCAGTGTAGACCTGCCAAGCCAGCTGGTCTGTGTTAAGAGGATGCAAGCAGATGCTACAATCCCTACAGTGTAAACTGTACTCAGCACTACAGAAGGTTGTCTGATTGACAGAAAGTGCTTCCTGTTTTTTGGGGAAGAAGTGATACAATGTACAGAAGCTTGGCCTCTTGAGAATGGATCTTCATTTCTTGGATATATATGGCAAAAGGAAACTCAGTGTGCCATCAAGGAATGTGGAGAAACGGAGTCATTGCAGCATCAACAGTGAATTGATCCATTGACAAGGAAAACCCTGTGCGGTGCTAGGACCAGCTTCATGCAAGTTATTGTAACAGTTTCTTTGAAATATTTGATTTCTTGCCCCGCTCCCAAAATTATGCAAATTTCATTCATCTTTTCTGTTGAAATGTGGAACAGTTTGCAGGATAGTTCTCTAATTGTGTTTGGTTAAAGTTCCCTGTTTCACTTTACAAATCTGTACAGATTATTCATTCCACACATAGGAGACTTTGCCAAACTATTACTGTTCTAAATTACCTGTAGCTTAAATTATTTCCATGCTTTTTAGCACCAGGGTGACTTGACTTTCTGGTGCTCATACCATATTAAAAATGCTTCTATAACACTCTGAATCAAGGTTATAAAAAGAAACTAATGAGTGTTCATGTTGACAGCTTGTGCTTTGATCTCATTGAAAAAACTTCCTTATTCTGAGATGGGTTGTGTGACTTATGTTTGGTGAGCTAAGACCTTTCTTTGAGCTAAGAAACCATAAAATGTCCCCTCTGCTCTGAAATAGGACTAACTTTGACAAATATTTTCTGGTTAGCAAAAAATACATTCTTGTACCTAGTGGAAGGTCTTTCTGGACCTATGGAATAGCTACTTGAGACTACTTTTGTAAAGCAGTCTGCAAAGAAACAATCTTTTGCCAAGGTAAGATGCTTAAGTGCAAGGCAGAAGAAAATAGGAGGAGAAATTACAAGGAGCACTGTACCTCCTACCTGACAGAAATGAAAGAACTTGAACCTAGCGTCCAAGTTTTCAGAACCCATACTAGCAGAAGGGGACGGTGTTTGCAGTATTTGCTTTCTAAATTTAAAACAAGCTGTCAAGAATCTGCCATGAAATTGAGGACAGCAGTGGCTATAGCAAAGCTTAAGGCTTCAAGCCCTCTGTTCCTGCTTGAGAAGGATGAAACTGAGAGATTAATTATGATGGCTAATCAATTTGATGCAAACTGAGAAGTTCCAGTCATTAGAATGGATGTTTCAGTTTGTCATGCCAAAAGGCTTTCTGAGAAACCTTCCATAAGTAAAATATTGCACTAAGTCAAAGTCAAGACCAATAAGATTTTGCTGGTTTTTCTTAACTTTTTTCCCCTCACAATGGATCAAGTTGAACCTGTGTATGTACACAGGTTTTCAAATGATCACTGCAACTCTGAGGTCACAAAATACATGCACTATTACAGTGAATTTTCAGAGAGCTAGATTTTGACAGAAAACAAAAAATATTCAGTACTTCAATAAAATCCTATTAGCAGTGTAGATGGAGATATTACTAGCAGTCATGTATGTGTTCATTTATTGCAGCAAAGAAGTGCAATAAATAACACTTTCTGCCTGAAAATTAATTAGTTGTCACGGCAGAATTAAATATTTAACTGCCAAAAAAGGCAAATAAACCATGTTTGCCAGGATGGGCATGCAATAACCTAATTTTAGCAGAGCTTGTGATCTTGATTTTGCTATAATATCCAAACATTTGGTGTCTAAAGATCATACAGAAATTTGATTAACTAGGTTGAATTACTCAACATGTTAGTACCTGCTCACGTTTGAGATATATTAGTTGTCTGCAGAGTTCCTGGTATTGCAGCAAAAGCTTCTACTTTTTTTATACCACAAAAAAAATAAAACCACACAACAGAACCCACAAACAAAAATACCCCAACCACAAAGCACCTTCCCTGTGGAAAAACAAGTAGAGTAAATTATGACAGTCACCTTGATTGAAAACCCTGCTTGAAACACTAGAATAAAGGGGTGAATTGTCATACTCAGTCTGCTGTGTAGATGCTGAAATAACTTCTAAATACTTCAGCGATCACCGTTTTATCAGGACGTCAAGAAAATGTGCTAAATGGCCTCCCCATTGCCAGAAATCCCGACTGAAGCTAAGTTACCTTCAGCTTAATCTTGTAACAACAGGTGCACTCCTAGTTTAGTACGAAAGTACGTGGCAGTTGAAAGTAAATTGTAGATCATATATGATGTTTCATTTACAGAATAAATGACGTGGGGCTGCCGTAATCATTGGACACTTGTATTTTCACTGAAAGTCCTTTCTGATGCTGCTCTGTGTTTTTTTACCATCAATACCACAAGAATGAAGTACTGTAGAAATTGAAATTAGGCCCAACATGCTGCTGAGTACTTGGGGACTAATACTGAAGACTGAAATCGGTTCTAGAGTTGCTCTAACTTATAAAATGGAAGCCCTATAAATAGTGAAGCAAGAGGGGCTTGATTTAAGAAATACAAACATGACTGAGCAGTAAGTAAAGCAGCTTCTTCTTTAGTCATTAGATGGGAAGGCAATTAAAGTGGAACAAGCAACCAAGCCATCCTTTGAAAGTGGTGGTAGGCGTGGGCCGCCACCCCCTCCCCGAAGCAGAGGTCCTCCCAGGGGCCTTAGAGGCGCAAGAGGCGGAAGTGGCGCGAGAGGACCACCTTCAAGAGGGAGTCACTTGGGTATGTATTGACCTCTCTCATTATACACTTCGACAACACAAGACAATCCCATTGGAAGATGACATAATCCTACTGGAAAAAAAAAAGTCAAACACCTGAATAGTGCACTCCTTGTTCTTTATTAAAATGATGAAATATGATCTCGGCAGTTTAGTCAAATTTTTGATTAGGCAAGTACACCTTAAGAAAAGGCTTTCAGATGTGAAGATTCCTTTCTACAACTAACACTCCACTTGACTTATGCCTATGAAAGAAAAGCAGAACTCCTGCCTTGCACGTGAGAAAGGAAGCTTTCTGGTATTCAAGTCGAAAAAGTGATTCGCTACCACCAGGGAAAGGAAACTGCCTTTCATTCTTAATAGCAAGAGGTCTAAACTGAGAAATTTTTAGGGCTGATCCTTCCAGATCAGAGTGAGAGTTAGGGCAGCTAAACCTTTTTTTTTGTTGAGTTGAAGCTTTCTAATTGTAAGGATAGTATATTACGTGATACTGGATATTCATTAAGATACAACTATTTATTCAGACTTTTCAGTATCAAAACAAAACTCACTTAAATAGCAAGCAGTACCTGAGGTGTAACAAGAAAAGCTGTAATGCAGAAAAAAAACCCGCTGGAAATAGTGCAAATTCTGTCTTAAAGAGTCTGTATAGTAGGTTCTGCAGACTTGGTAGAATTACCTCTGTTTCCCCTCTGTAGGCTCTTCTCTAGTACATCCTCCCAGGTGGCTCTTGTCTTCTGAGAACAGTAACTTGTTAAGCATTTAGCTGTGACTGATTACTTGTATCAGCTGTCTTTTTCCCTTGTGTCACACCCTGTAGCTTTTGGATAAGTTCTAAAAGACAGTTCTTGACAGGAATTTAGGCTGTGGAAAGTTTGGCTCTCAATTCTGCCAGTAGCATTTAATAGTGGCTAGAAGACAAGAGAAGGCTTTGAAGGTCTAGTTTTAGAGGGTTACTGTTGATTGTGTAGTGGTAATAATAGCGCCTTTAGGTTGTCATAGTTCAGGCTTTAAGAAAATGCAGGTGAGTATCACAGAAATAATAATTGCTTCATGGCTTCTCCTTCTAGGGTCTTCTCGAGGGCCACTTCCCATGAAGAGGGGTCCGCCTCCACGAAGTGGAGGCCCTCCACCTAAAAGATCTGCACCTTCAGGACCAGTGCGTAGCAGTAGCATGGGAGGAAGAGGTAAGGACTTCCTGACTAAATTAATTGCTTGGTCAGCTCTGGCACCTTAGTCTTCCCTTAGGAACTGGTGCAAATCATTGATTCATTCTGCTGTGCGATATTGTACTGTTTTTCTAACCTTTAGTTCCTTTCATACTAGTATAATTTTGTAGTTGTTGGGAGCAATTTGGATATGTTTCTTCTAGTGCTGTTATAAAACTGTACAAGCAGAAATGCAAAATGTTCTAAATGTAGGCTCCAGAGATCCTATTAAATTGCTTTAAGCTATTTACTAGCACTTGCCTTGAATGTTCTGCATGGCTAAATGCTAATTAAATGGACTGTTTCTCTGAAGCTCCTGTGTCACGTGGAAGAGATGGTTACGGCGGTCCTCCGCGCAGAGAGCCAATGCCATCACGGAGAGATGTCTACATGTCTCCAAGAGATGATGGCTATAGCACTAAAGATGGGTAAATTCTTCTACTGTTTTATTTTAGTGAAGTGTTTTTTGTTTGGAGAAGGGTCTTGATTCCAGACCTTCTTTGGTAGGATATATGGCTAACATCTCAGTTTTTGTTCTTCGTAGTTATTCAAGCAGAGATTATCCCAGTTCCAGGGATACCCGGGACTACGCACCACCTCCCCGAGACTACGCATATCGTGATTATGGTCATTCCAGTTCACGTGATGAATACCCCTCCAGGGGATATAGGTACCTGCTGTTGGAGTTTTCTCCCTGTCACTGTACTCTTGCTGTGCTGTCAATGATTGGTACTAAGTCTTAGTAGTCTTTCCTCCTATAGTGATCGTGATGGATACGGTGGTGGACGTGACAGAGACTACTCGGATCATCCAAGTGGAGGCTCGTACAGAGATTCATATGAGAGTTATGGTAAGAATCCATTTTGAGGATTATATAAATGTACAGATGTCATAACATCTGACTTTGACTAGGTTGCTTGTGTTTTAGAGGGAAGTGGCACACTTTCTTTCCCCTACAGTGACAGTGCAGTTGTTGGTTATCATTTGGTCATCTTGTTAATAAGCTATAAGCTAAAGAAGGAAAGTCTACAGTTCAGAATGACAGCTGTCTCTGGAAAATATGGCTGAGTTTCTTCTCCAAAATAACAAGCTGTACTGGAATACCCAGTTAAAGAGCCTGCCTGAATAAACAAACACCGTCTTCATTCCTTCAGAATCTTTAAATCCAGTCACTGCCTGATACGCAATCCCCACTTAAAATACCATTAGTGTGGCAGATTTTGTTAAGACCATCTCAATACATATAAAAAGAGTAGCAGTAAACATTTTAATCCAGCAATTCTGTAAATTCGGATTTGAAATTGTTCTATATAACTTATGGTGTTGCCATATTACCTGACCATTGACCCTGCAGGTAACTCACGTAGTGCTCCACCTGCTCGAGGGCCCCCGCCATCATATGGTGGAAGCAGTCGCTATGATGATTACGGCAGCACACGAGATGGATATGGAAGCCGAGAAAGTTACTCAAGCAGCAGAAGCGATGTCTACTCAAGTGGCCGTGATCGTGTTGGAAGACAAGACAGGGGTCTTCCCCCATCCATGGAAAGGGGCTATCCACCTCCTCGAGATTCTTACAGTAGTTCAAGCCGCGGGGCACCCAGAGGTGGTGGCCGTGGTGGAAGCAGATCCGATAGAGGTGGAGGCAGAAGCAGATACTAAAAACACTTAAATTTTTGGACCAAGACAGATTATTTCTCAAATGTGGAAGCTGTTCTATCTTTACTACCAGAGGACTACTAAAAGGAAAAGTTGTTTTTAACCTTTTTTTATTGTTGCCTGTTAAGTTTTCCCCCCTCCATGACTTATGCTTTTGTGAGAGAAAGTTGAAACAATGTTTAATATCATTTCAAAATTGTTAACATTTCTTTCAGAAAGCAGATGTTAAATGTATAAGCTTGAGCTGTGTACTAGTGTTGTAATTTTCAAAGTAAAGTTTCCCTGAAATGCCACACTTCCATCTGATTTTCGTCATGAGTGGAACAAGCTGTTCTTAAGATCTTCCGCACAACATCCAACCATCTAACATGGAGATGGATTGCTCTACCTGTTCAGCATCTCATTCTGAAAGTATTGGTTGTGATTTGGAGGGTGGTGGGGATGATTCTACATATGATTCTACATAAAAGCTCAGTTGTGCCTAGAATTTGAAGTCACAGTGTTCCCAGTACCAAATGCCTTCAGATCCCTGTGTAAAGAAAATAGAGGATTTCATTCACTTAAGCCGAAAAAGCAAGTGGATAATGCTATATTCTGCCTTCCTACTGTTTCATGGGGAGTTTAAAAAGATCTCCCCTGCAAAAAAATCATGTTCATGTAAGTCAGCTACAAAATACTGTTAAAAAACAACAATCCACAAACCATTGACAAATTTCATCAAAGAAGCTGCAAATCGATGCTTACTCACACTGTTTCAAATTTTTGCAACTCTGTAGTGTTTCACTTTTAAAGGAACATCTTTGATTCCAAAGGAGAAAATAAGATAAGCAAAGAAGTCTTTCTCTCCAACTTCTGAAAGGCTTATGGCTTCCTAAAATAAGTGAATCTTTCAGCATTCCACAGCTGATTAAGAGCATCCAATGACTGTGAAACAGCAAAGATGGTAAGCAAAGCAAACTAGTTTTTCAGTCTAAGTCAAAATTGAAACAAGTTACCTTCTTCTAGTACAGTAAGACAAGCTGCATGTCCTGGCAATGGAAGTGCTGTCTAGATTAAGAAAAAAAAGGAAAATAAATTCCCCAATACATTAGAAATTCTCCAAATTCAACAATCCTTGGATAAAAACATTTATGGCACCAGTTTTGAAACTAAAGCTGTAATGCAGCTCACTGTAGAGACCCAGTATTGCCATGTAGAGTGGGGAGGGGGTGTTTTGTGACCAGTGTCTCTTAGTGAAGATGCTTAAAGAGGCTGCATATACAGCACATTAACAAAATTAAAGCCTTGTGAAATCAGGAATTAGTTTAGATTGAGAAATATCGGCTCAACTATTGGGAGTTGGAAGCAAGAAATGCAGACTTGATGTTTAGTTGGATACCTAACTGTTTAGTTTGACACTGCATTGCAGGGATACCCAGGGATACATATGGCATAGCCTGTGGCAAGTTGTTAGAACTTGGGTGAAGCCATGAAGTTCAAAAGATACTCTTGAATATAGTAAACCTGAAGAAAAACAAAACCACAAACCCAAAACCTTTGTACTACTGTTTAGTCCTCAGTAAATTTTGTCGTTCAACTTAAGGATTTAACATGGCAGTGCACCATTGAAAAGGAATGAGAATCCATAAGCCATGCAACCTTTCTCTAAGCCATTCCAGTCTATTCCAAGCCAGTGAATCCTCCACCATTTAAAGAAATAGTAAAACCTTGCAACTGAATAATCTGCAAACCAAACTTGTGCCATTGTTTTGAAATGGGGGCAATTACTGTAGGTTAGCTTGTGCTGTGAAACATGGTTTTCTGAATTTGTTGTATCTTCTCTTATTGCAGGGGGATAACTTCTAGAAGATACCACTGAAATAGTGCTGGTTCATCTGTTGATGGCAGACATGAGTGGTGCCTGTACCAATACGTAAGGTAAATATTGCAGCAGTGTAATAGCTGCAGGGAAGTTCCCTGCTCATTGTATTTGTAGGTTCGAACAGATGTTCTTCATGGCTAAGTGTTTTTTTTGACTTCTGTTTAAATTTTGGAGGAGGAGGCTTAAGAAGGCTTTGTAAACCAACCAGTTTAGGAACAGCAGCAAGACACTACTTGTCTGCAAAAACAGGGCCAGTTTGATTATAGCTAAAGAAAAACATGTTTACAACTGCACTTCAGGTCATGGGGCAGAAAGTGCCAAGTATGAATTTTTATAACAGTTGGTCATAAAAATCAGAGTTGTAATAATAAATGTTGTATAGACATTTATTCAGTCTTGTTAAATGTGTTGGATTAGCAATTAGAGTGAGTATAATCTTGCATTAGGAATTGATCTCTGCAGAGGTCCTGGGATTAAGCTGCAGACTTCAGGTGCCTCCAGAATGGTTTAAAACTGTAGAGCAGCTGTGTTTTGTGGCTCTAAAGCCTACCCTATTAAAATAATTTTTCAAGAAGATTCAAGAGCAGCTGTCTTTGGATTTTATGTGAAAGTGTGACTTGCTCCTGTTTCTCTGAAAACTCAGAAGGAAAAAAGTGAAAGTGGCTGTCATGCTAACCTAGCTTTCTGGAAAATAAAATTTCTCTACTAAATAATTGCTAGTAAAAAAATGGAAGTAACTTACAGTGTGTGCAGAATTTGATAAAATCTAGTTCAGATTAAAGGATAAGGACAACTACCTTTTCCAGGAGAAGCATTTATGTAAAGAAGCATGTGTACTCTCTTATGTAATTCTTCATTGAGTCTGTAAATGCAAGAACCTATTTTGCTGTTAGTTTCAAATTCTACTTTCAAGAACCAACTTTAAAATGGTAAAAAAGAAAAAGCTGTAGTTTGTGTAGTTGGTTTATCTGACAGCTGGTCACTGTTACCAGGGAGATCCTATCCTTTGGGAAGGATAAGTTCTGTTGTATACTGTGTGATGTCTGTAGCCTCAGTTACGATTCATTCTCCCTTAGAGTGTCAGCAACTTAATAACAGTGCAATGCCCTTGTCAGAATATGCTAGTAATGTTTTATAAACACTCCTGATAAATTGCTGCTGTTACCTTGATAATAAAGGAAAAATATGTTTTTTTTCAGATAAAATACAGAATCATCACAAGTTTTTTCTGTTCAGGGGACACATGAAGTTAATCAAAACAGAAGCTACTGCCCTACCAGCTTTTTATTTTTCTGACACTTGATAAAATTTCAACCAGCAAATGCTATCCTTGTCTTTGTTTTCCTTTTAAAATGTGACTGTTGAAATATTTAAATTAGTCTTACTGAAAGGACACTTCACAATAAGTGTTGCTAAAGGTTAAGAAAACTTAACCTTTTTCATTTACAAATCACTGATGTCACTAGTGTGCCACTAAAGGGGATTATGGAAATAGGTCTAAAAATAGCATTTCCCCTTCATTTCCCCACTCACCTGCAAAAAACCACCAGGAGTCAGTTTTTAAATTTATAGTTTGACCCAGATGTAGGTCTTAAATCCTCTAACGAAGAGATGAAATGCTGTCTTTAATGCAGCATTCTAGGAGACTTCAAAAGATACTGACAAATCATCATATAGGTTGTGTCAGAATGTTCTAAACTAAATGTGTGTGCACCTCAGTTCTCTCTGGTGGGAAGCTGAAGCTTAATTATTGACAAGTGAAAAAGCTTCCCTTTAAAAAAAAAAACAGGTGCTTTTTTTCAGTTTAGTAAATCTGTTGTGACCATGTTGTAATAAATATGGATATTAGAGACAAGAGCACACTCTGTCAGCCTTCTCTTCAGTTTCTAAATGTTTCCAAATTCTTAACAGGCATGGTACCAATGTTAAGGGAGCAGTAAGTAGACCTTAACTTATGGCAAGGAGGGTAATAATAGCCTTGTGGAAAATAAGGGTGCAAATGAAATTGCCAGCTGTATACCTTCCCTTGATTACGAGTTTTATTTTATTTATAGCACATTATTGCTTACAGATTAATACCAGTATGTATACCAGTGTATAACAGAACTTCTGAGTAGCATGTTGAGATTACCAAGAGCTGCTGTGATTTTGTGGTGAGTAGAATTTGAAGGCGGAATACACCCAGGAATTGTGGTACATAGTACCTGCCCTGGAGACAGTGTTATACAAGCAGTGTGCATTAATACAAGTTGTTCTCAGGGCATTTTGATTATTATAGTTAGCTATTGATGTGCTCTCATACTGTTGGAACAGATCAAATACAATCCAAATGCATTAACTGTATATATAAAATTAATTCAAAGATAATCTAGAATTATTGTCTCTTGCCTTCTGAGAGGTTACTAACTTGCATTTCCTTTTTCTAGTTGCAGTGACTAGAAGGTGGCAGTGCAGCAGTGGATGTGCATTGGAAAATCAAAGGATAACAAATCACAACTGATGCAGTCTGGCTTTTGAGTGTAGTGTTTGCCCACCATTTTCTAGAGGATTGTGTAAGCATTCAGGAGTTGCCTTTGAAAGTAGCACTACTGATCTCTTGGATGTACATAAAATTTCTGGTGGAAGCCAACCGCTGTCTGCCGTAGCTCACACCTTCCACCAGTGCAGAGTGAGCTGGTTTGTTGTTCGTTGCACACACATCCTACAGCAGCAAAATACTTTGGTTGGCTTTTATGTGTGTGCTTGCCATTTATGCTGATAAAAAGAGCAAGTTACACAGAAGTGACTCTTAGTCCTCTTGAATACAGAGGATTTCACCAAGAAAACACGGAAAGTTCTGCATTATTATATAAACAGTTTTGTCCCAACCTTCTGGATTGAGAGGAGGGGAGTGTTGGTGTACTCAGACAATGTTAGTGATGAATGGCCAGAATAATTAAGTGTTCCTCTATGTACACTGGACAGCAGTACATCTCTTGGGAGTAGGTGCTTCCTTCAAAACTTTGTCTTGATTTTGATGTATTTTTCTCTTACATACATATTGATAGGCCAGTGTATGTGACCGGAATCCTCAGGCATTGGTATTTCATGTAGAAAAGTCATGAACAATCACGGATAATAAAATTTATACTGACTTCTGTGATACACATAAACTGATCTCATTTAAACAACCCTCAGTTCATAATGAGTAGCTAAAGAAGAAAAAGCACGTATACCTTGTCTCGAGATTTAAACTTTATGTTTGGGGTGAGGCTATTTGAACCTCAGTTATGAGCTGCAGATTCTAGGAGTAAATCTGTATAGCAGATTGGTAGAATTGCAGTATTTCCCAGGCCAAATAAATTTACTGTTAACAAGTATTACGGGTTTTGGGTTTTATTGTCTAATTTAAAAGAAAAACATATTCTTCAGAGGCACTTGGATGGTAGTTAAGATTACTAGTGTTACATCTTGGAAGGTTATTGTTTCCGAGTGATCTCAGTATCTCTTCTGCAAGGAGGAGGAACATTCTGTACTATCGGACTCCTTTTACAGTACTATATTAGCTTACAGTGTTGAGCACTGCTGTTCAGGCTGAACTAGATCATCCTACCTAAAGTGTAATGCCAAATGGCAGCTACTGTATGATCAGTGCCTGCCTGAAATCCTAATTAATGAGAATGTACTCTGATCTACTGTATTAACTCATGGACAGAGTCAGACTTTGTCGTTGAAAGCTACCAGTTGAAATGTATCAGTAGATTCTGCAGCAGACAAATACTCCAGTGCTGTTCTTTGTGGTTGAATGTTTTCCCTCTGCTGGAAAAAAAGAGTGAATTACTTAAGCATGTGTGTGACTTCGAGAAGAACCACTCAAAAATGGTTTCTGAATATGTGACTGCTCATCTCTTACCTTGCTCCTGTTGCTGTGCTGTCCTGATGTGTATGCTGCCAGAGTCAGAGGTAGTTGGGTAAAGTCACCCCCTTTTAAAATAACACTGTACTATTTACTCATCACTGGTATAAATCAGGCCATAAATAAGTTTTTTTAATTAGGTTGACTCTGCAAGAGATGATCGATGATTTGCTTGATTTGTTGCTGTCAGCAAGTACACAGAGGTGAAGCCTTTCCAAAGACCAGACCAGACACTGTTCCTTCGTGGCTCTACCTTCATACCTTGGGTTTGCCACAGAATTAATTTTGGTGTGGAAGTGGGTAAACAAGCTGGAATGTGTTTAGAAAGGATTCTAAAGGATGTGAGGTTGGGAATGAAGTGGCTAATCAAAAACTCCATAAATTGTTTGACTTCGTGAATATCAGTATCTGCAGGTCTTTCAAGCAGCTGGTAAGTGTTCAAGATGTGGGACGTATTTTCATTTAATTGTAGTTGCAGACATCTGCTTGGCTGCAGCAGCTGCATGCAAAATAATCATAAAATTAAACCTGCCCATCTATACCAAAGGTTTCCTTTAGAGGAGGGGGTGGGTGCAGTACTTCAGTGTTCAGGTTTATGACACACTGACTTCAATGAAACAAGTATGCAATTCTCTCAGTGTAGAAAGTATTTCTCTTTACATCAGAAACTGCTGTGTTCTGATGAGGTGTCTGAGGTGTCTTCTATATCCGAATGTGTGTCCCCACTGATAAATAAGCATTAGTAGTTGTCTTGGCTACCTACAGATTTGAAGAAAGATTTATGAAATTATGGATACTGTATGTATTTCCTTCTGCAAAGCAGTAGCGTTCATGACAAGTGGGAAAAAAGGCCCAAAGCAACTGAATTGCCAACTGGTCATAATTTTGAAATATTTTGCACACGTTTGTGTCTCACCAAAGAGCAGTGAGCTGTGATTGAGCTGTAGCCCACTTTTCCGCAGTGCATGCAGACATGTGTTAAGAGTATTTCCACACTACAGAGACCTGGAACTCGTCCCAAAGTCCTGAAAAAGGTCAGAATTATGTCTAAGCCTGAAAGGACAGTTCTTGTTTACTGGTAGCTTTTAAAAGTCCTTAGGTAGGTCCCAGTACCAGTCATAAGACTTGCAAAGTGGAGGCAAAACCATGCACATTTACCGTGTACAGTTTATTGCTCTGCTGCTCTGTTTTTCCTGACCCTTTAAATCATAAGTAGTATGGTAACACTGGGTTCTAGAAAGCTGCTTTAAGTAACAGGGTAGGAATTGGCTGAGTACATTAGTAACCAAGAAATTCTGGTCTCTAGGATATTTTGTTCCTGTTGGATTCTTCAAGCCATGATGTTCCAGCTTCATCAACAGAATTGCTTCATTTTCCATCTGTTCTGGTGAAAGGACAGTTACAAAGATGACTGGACTTTTCTGACTTGCTGTGATATGTAGTGGTGGTTAATGCTGCCTTGGGCAGGGTGGAAAACTAACTTCACAGAGAATCCTGAAGTGGTGGTAGAAAGGGACATCTTAATAAGACAAGTAAAATAGTTGGGAATTTTATTCTCAGCTTTGAATTACTTAAATTTCTGACCTTTTTGAAGTTATCCAGATAATTGTTTTGAGAGATGATAATCTTCTAAATAACCATTTTGGATTATATGTGGACTTCTGCACAGCAGTTGAAGAGAGGCATTATTTATGTGTTAAGTGTATGATCAAAATTTATTTTCAAAAATCAGACAATGGAAAATAAAAAAACTACTGTAAAAGGCAATTTTAATAACTAGGTTTGCCACATAAAGTTGAAGATCTATATTTAGTCCTACATTCCTCCAAAACATCACCATTTGGCATTCTGTTTTAACACTGGAAATACATCATTATTTACAGTGTTAAGAAATTTATTTATTTGGGCAATAACCTTAAGTTCAGACCAAATCTACTAGGTGGTAGGGTGCCAGCTGCCACAAGGAGGAAGTCCCTATGTGAGATACTTTAATTTTGCAAAGATGTAGTTAACAATCTGCTTTCCCTGTCTCCTACTGAGTGCTAGAAACTATTTTATTTTGACAACAGTTTTGTAACTTCTTTTAGTTCCTAAGATTTGGTTTCTGTACCAAGCAAAAAAAAAAAAAAAAAGTAGTTTCAACTTGAGCTGCAGCAGGAAGATGTAATCACGGATGTGGGTTCCAGTACGCTGTTGTACAGGGGAACAGCTCTCAAACAGCAGAGCTCTCCACCATGAATCCAGAAGAACAGATTGTAACGTGGCTTATTTCACTAGGAGTCTTAAATTCCCCTAAGAAAATAGTGGATGATCCAGAGGGGTTCCTGAAAACTTCTCTGAAAGATGGAACTGTGCTTTGCAAACTCATTAATCGGCTTCTTCCGGGATCTGGAGAAAAGGTAATGTTTTCTGATGTATTTCACTACGTTGAGACAGAGCCCTGCTCAATGAAACCCTGCCCTGGGCATTCTGAGGCCTAGTAACTAGTGGGAGGAGCAAGGAGCTTCAGAGAGAAATGTTTCACATTTAAGTTTCTAATTGAAAGCCAAGTATGATTGTAGCTTTGGTTCCTGGATTTTGTTTCTACATCCAGAAAAAAAAGCCCTGCAAGGTTGCAGCTGACTCCCTTACCCATGTTCAGTCAGTGGCAGGAAATACTTGGCCTACCAGAGATCAGAATATCTTGATTTCAAATAGAAGGATATGCAGTGTGTCGGTGTTTACATCAGTATAATGAATTACAACTGTAAATACATTCACTCTTTCAGAACTCTTATGGCAAAATGCTTTGTTAGTTGGGAAATGCACTGGAGAAGCAGATTGGAACAGGAATAAGCAATTAAGGCTTGCATCTGTGCTATTTGGTCTGTCCCAAGACCAGCAAATCCGTTGGTACTGAAACCATGTGAATGCCTCCTGTTATAGTTTGACAAGGTGTGTATTCACAGTCCAAGAGTGTGATAAGACCCTGAAGGAGAAAAAAAGGGAAGGAGTCCAATGAGAGAGGAACTGGCAACACAGAAGAGAAGCTTTTAAAAAAGCAACTACACAAGTTTCTCCACCGTATAAAAAAAGGAGTCTTTCATTATGTAGAATTCAGTTTTGCTAGCTCCTTATCTTTTTCTTACTTGGGGTGGTTCAGGGCAGCGTGTTGTTAAAGGTCATCAATCTCCCACTGTCACTTAGGGCACTGTGGTATGCTGGCATTCAAAACAAGAGACAGCTTCTATGTGTGCATCACTTCCTCCAGTGGCTTTCTTCCTGCTTCAACAGCTTGCCTGCCACCCCCACCCGCCCCCTGAAGAAGCTTCCCTAATTCAGTATAAAAGGCACATGTCAATATTCATGCAGGCCTTCTCAGTACAGGCAATGCAATGAGATCAGTGGATTTTCTTTCTTTAGTATTGCCTGGAGCCTAAAAATGAAGCTGACTGCATCAGTAATATTCAAGAGTTCTTGAAAGGCTGCACACTTCTGAAAGTGGAGGTAAGTCAACTTAGATCCTGTATTTTATTGTAACATGCCAGTTTGATCAGCCTTCTCAAAGGAAGCCAGATACCAGAGGGAAAAAGTTGATATCAATTCATCATCTTTTGTATTAATAACATAAATCAGAGCATGGACGATTTAATACTCAGTCTGGGTATTTTGGAAACAGCATATTAACTGTGAGCTTAACAGATTCTCATATTTTGAGACAAAACATGCAACAATAACAGGAGGTCTGTCTAAACAGACTTCAACCTGGACCTGGTCATAATCTTTTTTTTCATTATTAGAAGGAATTGCAGATATTAGCCCTGCTTTCATGGGAAGGTGAAATATTCTTAATTCTGCACTATTTTTTTCATCCCCTGCAGCAGTTGTGGAAGATTCTGCCAAACATATATTAAATTGTTCCTTACACAAAAAAATAATCCTAATGAAGTGAAAAGATACCTTTCTTGTGGCTGCTCCTGATCCTATCTGTGTAAATTCTTATGCTTAACCATAGCTCATACTTGCAGTATCAGATTCTAAGTGAATCACTTCAGAGTTCAATTAATTTTGCCATCAAATTTTTTACTAGCTAAAGACCTTTGTGTCAGACTTAAATTCCTACAGTAAAAACAAAACAAAACAAACCTGCTGTAACTATCTTGTTTGAAATATGCTCAATATTGTGGAAAAAAAAAAATCTGAAGACAAGTCTGCCAGAAGCAGGGACAGAATCTTTGGACATTATACAGAATATTCATGCACCACCACAGTGAGAAAAGTCCAACCCATAATAGCTCTCTTGCTGCATTTTTTCCTTTGAAGGTCTAAACAAGAAAAGGGCCTTTCTTCTCTTTAGAGCTTTTTCGCTAAGCAGCATAAAAATGTGCTCATTCCAGAACTGTCTCCCTGGTCTTTTGTTGCCCAGTGATGCATTTCTTGGAGCCTGTTGCAGCAGCACAGTCTTAAGAGCATATATATAGAAAG